AGAGCCCAAGCAGATATCAGAAAAAAGCTGTCCTCAGGATATTGCACATTTCTCTGTGTTCTCACAGGGTGCTTCAGAAATGGGAATATATTCGTGTAAGTTATGATCACTTTGCTCCTTTTTCTAGCCTCACCTCTTCATAACGTAGAAATAGTTCCTACCTCTAGGGGCTGACATACACAATTGTTGAAATTACGGAATCTGACCTACAGCATGTGCACCCTATCAAGTCATCTTTCGCTTAGCTTAGATTCATAGAACTTCGGCATGAGGTCAGGGAACCAAATTTTCAAATGTAAGTGTCATGTGGGACCAAAGTTCCTGGAATCCTGCCTGTCTGGTTCATGGAAATGGGAAGATCTACTCTTGCAAGCTAGATCCAAGCTAGGATGCAGTTGGATTGCCAGATCTAGTAAGGAAGAGCTATGCGGAAGAAAGACAGGTCCCATCTCTAACTCTCTTGACTCAAGAGCAAAGCCACATAACTTCTCTGAACCCCTGTTTCCTCACTTGAAAAGGCCATCTCTCTTCTCATGTTACATCCTATTTCTGGACACTCTTAGTGTTGTTCTGAGCACTGAGGCACATTTGGAAACACACCCTAGATGAGATCGAGGCCACTGAAATTGACCTGGTCAGAAGCCAGTTCCTCTAGGAGGCATGGCCAATGGTGGGTACCTTCTTGTCTCTTCATTCTTTCTCCCACATGCTGAACCTAAGGGCAGGTAATGCAAGGCTGAGTAAGGAGGAAGTATTGTTTTTTTTTTTTTCCAGAGAATTACACAGTGAAAGTAAAAAATAGAGGATGAAAGTCAGGGTTTGGGTTATGGAGAATTTTGCCAGATTTATTATTTTTTTTTATTTTTGGGTCCGGTCGTGGGGCCTGAACTCTGGGCCTGGGCGCTGTCCCTCAGCTCTTCAGCTCAAGGCTAGTACTCTACCACTTGAGCCACAGCGCCACTTCCAGCTTTTTTCTTTTTGCTTATGTGGTGCTGAGGAATCGAACTCAGGGCCTCATGCATGCAAGGCAAGCACTCTACCACTGAGCCACCTTCCTAGCCCATATGGAGAATTTTGTACAGTGAAGAGACATATGACTTAGACTTGGCAGAATACATTATAATTCAACAGTTAAGAATGAGGAAAAAAGAAGCTGGGCCCCAGTGGCTCATGGGTATAATTTTAGCTACTCACAAGGCTGAGATCTGAGGATCACAGTCTGAAGCCAGCCTGGGCAGGTACATTTGTAAGATTCTTATCTCCAATTGACCACACTCAAAGAAAAGCCAGAAATGGGACTGTTGTTCAAGTGGTAGAGTGTTAGCCTTGTGCACAGAAACTCTGGGACAATGCTCAGGCCTAGAGTTCAAGCTCCAGGACTAGCACCAAGAAAACCCCCCAAATCATCATGTCTTTAGAAAACAGTGGGCCATCCATGTGGCTGAAATAAAGAAGGAGAAATGTTGGGCATATGAAGTAGGAAGGGCTGGGCAGTGGTAGGACAAAGTAATGCAATGAGATGCTGATTTCCAGAACAGGTTAGCTAGGCTGCATTTGGTCATGTTTGGTGGCAATGACAGCTCTTTAGTCAGAATGCAGTTTTGTGACACTTGTTTTCAATGATTCTTTAATGGTTATTTGTTATCCCCTACAAATCACACCTACCTAGAGATGATCCTGACATACTGGCAGCTCACAATCTAAGACCAAATATATGCCTTGGAAGTAGTTAATGAATCCATTGGTGTTTTAGGTGGTTTGGAAGATGAAGTGTTGGAACTTTACCTATAATGGTATTTCCCATCATACTTTGCATAGATCTAGTTCTGAGGGATACTAAATTATTATTTGAAAATAAAAAGTACATTGGTAAAAAATACACTGGAGACATTTCTTTCTCTCACTGTGTTCTCATTTTCCCAGGGCATGTATAAGTAAGTGCTTATCGCAGCCATACCATTATTTTTCCATTTGCCATTATGGGTTGTGCCATGGGACAGCACAAAAGATCTGTTGGAATTCTATCCTTCCAGGGACTCAGGACACAGGTTTTGTTGGCACTAGAATCTTTACAGTGGTGCTTCAGGTCCCATGGAGTCCTCATGGTGGGCCCAAATTTACTATGTGAGTATTGGGCATAGAGATATGAGAATATCATAGTGAAAATTAGATCAGACATCCAACTCATGTATCATTAATCTATAGACCAAAGGACACTACAGATTGCCAGCAAAGCAAAGCTAGGGAAGTGGCTTGCAATGGATTTTCCTTCACAGCCCTTTTGGAAGGAACTACCCCTGAGGACACCTTGATTCTGGGCTTCTACTTTTCAGATGGTGAGACTACATTTCAGTTGTTTACTCAGCTTGCAGCATTTTGTTACAGTATCCTTAGAAAATAACTACATAACACCGTTGTCTAAATTTCTCTCTTCTGTACACACTCCCTTTTGCAAACTATCCCTTAAGCAAGGCCTGGCACCAGGGGTTACAGTGCCAATGTTTAAATTCTGTCTGACCTCAGGGAAGGTGGGTGCTTATTTTAGAAGGACAAGAATTCAGAGTCTGTCTGAGAGTACAAGATGCCAAGTAGTGAGATCCATGTCCTTGAAGATATTCAAGCACATGGAGGCTGAAAGAAACTCTACTTCAGGCGAGTTCTGTGAGAATGCTGACAGACAGCTTTGCCTGTTGTAATCTTCCAGGAGCTGGCCCATGGACCAGTACTTTGGAATTCTGGTGAGATAAAACCTGGGAACATGTCTCCCTTGTGTAAGCGTTGGAGACAGTGTGGGAGAGTGGCATGCGTGTTTTGAGCAAGGGCTTAGTACCAAGTGCCAGTTGCTCTTCACTGGATAAGTCTCACTCGGCCTTTGTCAGAGCTCAATCTGCTTGTGAATTTGTCTGGAATCCATTCCCAGCAGCGCCATCTGTTCCTGATTGTCCTACCATCTGACCATTTACCCTTTGTCAACCACCCCCCTCCTCTGGGCACCCTGACTGCCAGTTGGAGCCCACCCATTGTCCAACCTGGAAAAACTGAGTCTGAGGAGAAAACCGGACAGGAGTGAGAGGAGGACAGACACATGCCAATGGTGGTGGCATTTCAGGCCAAGATGTATCTGGGGAGATCCCAAGCCTTCACACAGAACCTGGAGAGAGAGCACGTAGCCAAGGCAGAGCCATATTGTGCCCCAGGCAGCCTGATGGCTCCACAAATAATATTGACTCCTTTTGTTTGGAAACTTTTGTGGAGGCTTCCCACTTCCCAACACACCACCCTTCAATGCTGGGCCTCCCCCCAATCTACTTTGCCTTTTGCAGGGTCGGTCCGTGGCCAACTGTGCCGGCAGATGAGGGCCCCTCCATGCTAATGAGGGGGGCCATGGCTGGCATTCCTGAGACACCCAGGCTCTCCCTGAACCGCCTTTGTTGCTAAGGAGCCTTGGAACTGCAGCTGAAAGGCTCTTACGAGGGAGGGAGTGAAGACAGGGAGAGAAGAAAGGCAGACATTTGTTTTCTGAGCTTCACAGTTCCCTGGCCAGCTCGAAAAGCAGTCCAATTTCTGATCCCAATTAGAATATCAAACCCCCTTGTTATTGTTTCTCCTAATGATCTTGGGAAATTCCTCTGAAGAGTCAGCAAGCACTTAGCAAATGCTTTGGACTGTGCCCCATTGTGCTTCTGGTTGTATAAACCACACCAAGGCAACCTGAAAATACCCTTTATTCCAGCCCCCAGGGTGGTGGTGGAGCTGGGGGACTGGAAGAGGGCAGAGAGTAGCTGGGTTTTCAACATGTTCTTATGGGGGCTCTGTCCAACAGCGTTCCCTAGGCACCTACTCTGTGAAGAATCTGGGCTCTGTGATGGAGAGGCAAAAATGAAGATGGTGGTCCCCAATTTGGATTTACTGCCAAACTTCCTAGAGAGACAATGAATTCTGTAGGTTATTTGCTGTAACTGTCTGTATGGTGTTGTCTGACAAAGAGTTCCTCACTGGTTCTAATCCTACCACAGTTACTATTAGACCACAAGTAAATAAACAATTACTGTGTGTCTCAGGTTCTCATCTGCAGGATGAGCACAGCAACCTTCTAGTTCGTTTGCTAAGAGCAAGTGCAAGCAGAAAATAAAGAACAGGAATGAGAACAAGTCTTTATTCTCTATTGGCTCATGACCATTTCCAGGTAAAAGAGAAAAAGGTCTATTAAATAGCATAAAGTAAAATACTGTGTAAGAATAAAATACACTAATTTCACCGCATGGACCATGCCTGTGTGCCAGGTGGAGTGGGTTCTTATCTCATTGTACTTCCTGGGAAGATAGTGAAGTACTGAGGATCACACACCTGAGAGACAGTCTGCCCATTGGTGAGATCCTGCCTTTGACATTCTGAATTCTCACCATCTTTAAAAGGCCAAAGCCCAAGGCTCTTAGAGAGATGTGGTTCCACAGTTGACTCTAAGCAAGCCTCATCACACAGAAACATACCCAGAAGGTTCTACTGGAGAAGGTGTCTCAAGATAAACAGACACATGGCTTTACTACTCAGCCTCTAGTAGAAGCTCACACTGACACAGCCATAGGGAAAATGCAAAATGCTACTTATCAAAGAGAGAGGGAAAAAGAAGGGGAGACAGAGACAGAGAGACAGAGACAGAGAATGATGTTAATACCTAGAAGTGGGGCTTGCAAACACCATCATTATTTAATCAGCAGTGTTGAAAAATATCAAACATACCATGTTAATAATATGCTTTATTATCATAGAAAAGCAAAGTAAGTGAGTCCGTATAATATTAACAAAGAAAAGTGGTATCTCTTCTGGTCATTCTGAATTGCTGTTGGGCAAACATCATAGTCAGCAACCAAGGCCATGGATCTCAGTCTCATGGATCTCAGCTCTGATAATGCCGGGGCCACTACATTCAGGCTGGTTTAAACACATCCGGGTTCAAAGTGAGTTGAGAGTGATGTGTGCCCTCACAGCATGGCCTGGCATTACAGCTCCTTCAAGTACCGCAGAGCTGGCTCCAACACCAAATCTTCCCCTTTGCGAAATTTCTGCAAAGCCTGGTTGATTTTCCAAGGGCTGAGGGACAGGTTGTAAATGACATTGTAGTTATGAATTAGGCGTCTGGCTCGTTCCTTCTCCAGAAGCCCTGTGAGTAGATTGGATGGGTGGCGGGTTTGTTAAAGAGAAAGGGGAGAATAAAAAATATGAGCTCAAGTGACTTTGAGGTGGACACTAGGTATTAAGCTTTGAAACTTTAAGCATCTTAAAAATCAAATGCCACCTTCCAAAGTATTTAGAGTCCCAGATGTGCGACTGAGATTTTGGAAGGAATTTCTGTGTGACTTGGGGAGGGACAGGAGATGAAGTCTAATAACCATCACAGATAAGTTCTAAAGCAATTTAAGTTTGGCCTTATAACCACACTACTCCTTAAAGACTCTCATTTTTAGTAGTTGTACAAAGTGGTGACTACTCAACAATGCATCTTGATCAATATCACCCCTTCAATCATTCTCCATCATCTTTTCCAATCTCCCCTCCCTTCAATTTTCTTAGTCTCATAGGACATGCATTGAACATGATGACTACATTCTTCCCCACTTCCTCTCATTTGTCTAATCCCTTCCTTTTCATTCCCTTTCCCCCCATTCTCAAGTACCAGCTTCCTGGGTATTCATTTTGTTGGACTGTGAATTCGTTTTTCTAAGGGGTTACACCCTTTGAATTTTCCCCTGCATAAACCGGAATTTAGTTAATAGGCTTGTCTACACTTGCATACAACTCCATATGAGCCACACAACTTTTAAAGCCAAGTCTTGAAAGTTTTGGGGTGCGTAGTAAAAAAAGTTTTTTCCCCTTTTTTTGTTTTTTTAAAAAAATCTTATCAAAGTATACAAACATGTTCCTACACATGCAGGGTTGAAACAATGCCTTTGAAGTGCATTTCCGGACAGGCATTCCCTGTGCTGTTTTCTAGCTGGGAGCTCCTAGGAAAATTGCTTTGCTTCTCAAGGATCAAAGTTTGAACCTGTGACATAGAGCTAGGGCTACATACCAGCTCAGGATACAGTCTGATACCCACACACTACACAGGGCAATGCCAGCCAATGCTGGAAGGTTAGGGAGGCATGGCAGTTGTTGAGAGAAGTTTTAAATGTACATCTAAGTATCATCAAAGATCACCAACTCATTCATATGCCTGAATCATGAGCTTAGATACATGACTTGGAGAGTATAAGGAATTTATAAAGCTGGGCGCTGGTGGCTCATGCCTGTAATCCTAGCTACTCAGGAGGCTGAGATCTGAGGATTGCAGTTCAAAGCCAGCCTGGGCAGGATGAGACTCTTATCTCCAATAAACCACTCAGAAAACTGGAAGTGGCGCTGTGGTTCAAGTGGTAGAGCGCTAGCCTTGAGCTGAAGAGCTAAGGGACAGCACCCAGACCCAGAGTTTAAGCCTCATGACTGACCAAAAAAAAAAATTATAGAACTGATCTGCTATTTCTGGAACTTGCTGACCCATTGGGAAACTGAGTTATGCCTAATATCAATTAGAAGACAACTACAAAATAATAATAATGACAACACATTATTGGATAAGATTTACTATACTTTACCAAGCATTTTGGCAGTATTAACTCATTTAATCCTCCCAACAATCCATTTCACAAAGGAAGGAACTGAGATCTAGCATCTCCACATGATTTGATCGAGTTTCCTCATACAGCGTTGCCTTAGGAACGAGGGGGAAAGACAGGGATTCAAATATGCTTCATATTGTTTCCTCATATGTTTCTTGAATTGTGAAGACATCTGTTACAATTGTCAATAAAGAGCTTTCAAATATCCTTTCTGGAAATGAAAGATAATCCCCTGTGCTCTTTTTACTCTCCATTACCTATACAGAATGCGATTTTAAAGTTATTTCTCCAAAAGCCTAGAGGCAATGCTTCATTTTAGAGAAGACCTTTATTAGTCCTCCAGAGCTGGGCAGTGGTAGATAACTTGTCATTCTGGCTTGACATACCATGGAGAGGTGTGCTTTCCTGTGAAGAGAGCGTGAGGCCGATTCTCTTCTAGCACCTGTTCTCCTCTGGGAGTTCTTCTAGACTTAACAGTAAGCTATATGTTCAGGTGAACTTCTGTTTTATTCTGTTCCCATTTATTTATTGGTTGACTTGTCCATTTTCCCTGAATCAACTTCATTCTTTACCTTAGACTATACACAGCTTAGAAAGTCTCTGCATTGAGTGTTTGCTCTTAGGTTTTTCTCCCTTTAAACATTTCCCTAGATCCTTCTTCTGGAATTGTAAGTCAATGGCAATGATGTAAGTTTCTGGCTACAAGTTTTGGGATTTTTTTTTTTGTGTGTGTGTGTGGGTCCAGTCATGGTGCCTGAACTCTGGGACTGGGCACTGTCCCTCAGCTCTTCAGCTCAAGGCTAGCACTCTACCACTTGAGCCACAGCACTACTTCTGGCTTTTTTCTTTTTGCTTATGTGGTGCTGAGGAATCGAACCCAGGACCTCATGCATGCAAGGAAACGCTCTACCACTGAGCCACCTTCCCAGCCCCAAGTTTTGGGATTTTTTAAAAAAGTTTCTTTTGAACCTCACTTTAAATGTTATAAAGAAAGAATTAAATTTTGTGAAAAATCAGTAAAATAATTAGCTCTTAGTACAGTGGCCAGTACTTGTAAGTACTCATTAATGCCAAGAATCACAAGAAGACAATTATAATAATTAAATTAAGAATACTTTTTAAGTATATATGTATACATTGAAATGAAATAATTATTATGCTACATGACATTTAGTTCATATTCTAATTAGAAATACAAAGTAATGTCAAAATTTTCATCTAGAAATTCCAGTGGTATCATTACTTTTTCCTGTCATCTTTGCCATTGGTAGAGGTTCTTAGTGTGAAACGTTCAGTGAAATTTAGATCTGTCCGAATTACTCTGCCAATGGGGGATGGTCCAAAGTGGAAACCTAAAATATCCCTAACAATCTGTCTTAGTGTTAAAAAGTCTGTCCTTTTGCAGCCAGAACCAAAACACAGGAGTTAATAAGAACCACTTTAACATCCACTTCATGGTTACAGTTTATAGAGAGCTGCCAAATATTTTATCTCATCTGATCCTTTCTCAACTCCAGGAGGCATGTTTTATTAATCCCAGTCCTAATTTATAGATGAAACTCCGAGAATTTACATGACTAGCTTTCAGGACTCAACAACTAGTGGAGTCTGGGACTTGTCCCCAAATCTTCTATTAAAAAAAACAAAAAAACAAAACCGCATGTTCTTGTATGTCTCTAGAACTGGCTCTAGTGAGTCATCAAATACAGCAAGGATTGAATTATGGCCACACTTCCTACTTGCTATCCTCTGTAAACAAGGGTCCTAATACCTTCATCAAGTGTTGATGTGAGAACTTGGTGACGAAGTGCATGGAAAGTCCAGGACCCTGCAGAGAATATCCTTCCAGGCCTCCTGCCACCTTGAACTTGAAAATACTTTGTATCTAGCCTTTGGTTCATTGGGCCACTTCCAAGTGCACTATTTGCTCAGACATTTATCCCAACCATACTTCTTTCTTTAGCAAACATGACCAGTTATTCATAGTCATTCTTTATTTCTTCTCCTCAAGGCTATTTTCTTGACAAACCCATTAGAGGGTAAGCGCGGTAGGTTCCCAGAAACAGTGATTTGATGATGGATAGTCTGCCTTCATCTTTTTGGATGAAGAACACCCTGGCCTACATATTTTCTTGCACATAATAAAGCACAGTGATTCATCTGTGAGTAAAGGAAGTGTCATCTGCTCCGCGTCTAGAAGGAGGCCTTCATGGTCTGTGAAATGCTGTGGCTAATAAACCAACCAAATGACCTCAGTTAATCCTCTTTCCTCATTAAAGACAGTTGTCGACGTTCCCAAATCTGGCTGACACATTCCTTGGCTGTTGAGGAGCTAATGGATTTCATAGAAACAGAGAAAAAATAGGCATAAACAGTGAAGAGGCCATGAGAAAGGCATTTCAAATCTGCCGGAATCTGTCTCCAAAGTCAACAGAACTTCATTTTCCCTCAGAACTATTCTGTTCCTATGAGAAAGGTCCCACTCTTTGGGGAGTCTCTTAGCAACTGAGTTTCTGATTTTATGATCCATCATCTATCAATCCCACTTGACATCTTTTTCCTTAGGCAACAATTTTTCTGTCTATGGAGACTGGTTTTTATTTGATTGTGTATTACTTGTAACTTCACCACTCCACTCCTAACGCTGATATGCACACGTAAACTCAGCTGTTCATACCTTTTACATCTTCTTTCTTTCAGAATCTTCTCTAGATATTCTAGCTCAGCTGGAACATCTTTTGGTGGATTCTAGGTAGAGGAGAACCCTCCATCTAAGCTCTGATGATTCGTAAGTAGGGTAAATTTTACCCTCCTATGAATCATGATCTAATGTACACTTCGAAGACTGTCAGATTCACCCTGTACCCCATTATGCTTCTGCTCAACCTCTAACCTTTGCAGAACATTGTCTCAGATGTCCTATCCAACTCCAAAGTCTTCCACACTTCATCTTTAAGTACCAGTCTCCATCTTCCCCAGAGCCCTCTCCAGTACCCCTGCTTAATGGAGAGCTTCCTCTTATTTCATTTCTTCTTAAAAATTTTCAATTGATATAAAATTATACATATTTACAAGGCATACCCTTGATATGTATACTTGATAGATACCAATATAATTAGCAGAGACATATTTTTCTCCTCGAATATTTATCTTTTCTTTATAGGGAAACAAAATCCTTTCTTCTTGCTTTCTTGAAATACATATCATTATATATAGTCACCCCATTGGGTAACTACACACAAACTTTTCTGCCATGTCTATCTGTCTGTTGTCTTTCTTTTAGAGACACTCACTTGTGTTCATCTATAATAATTTATTCTCTGCCATTATTTTCTTTCCATTTTTAACTGTTCTTTCAATCTCTGTAGCTTGCATATGATAAGAAGTTTCAATTGGAGACCATGTCATATCCTTTCTCTTGGTCTGTCCTCTAATATAGTGATGGGATTATGAAAATGAATCTTTTACATTCAGTTTGGGGGCTATTTTCTCTTTCTTCAGAAAAATTATTAAAAATCCTGCATATAATATGGTAGTTATATTTTGGGTGGTCCTAGTATTAAATTGCTTTGGAAATAATGTAACGAAAAGATCAAACCAAAAGAAAAGGCAAATTAAGATTAAAAAATAAACACATACAAAGTAAGCGGAGGCATTGCTATTGTCGTAAGGTTACTTTTAGAGAGTACTAAGGTTTACCTCACCCCCTCCTGCGGCACACTGCAAACCAGCTCAACAGTTTCCATCCATGTACTTTTTTTTTTTTTTTGTCAGTTGTGGGGCCTGAACTCTGGGCCTGGGTGCTGTCTCTCAGCTCTTCAGTTCAAGGCTAGCGCTCTACCACTTAAGCCACAGCACCCCTTCCAGCTTTTTCTGCGTATGTGGTGCTGAGGAATCGAACCCAGGGCCTCATACATGCAAGGCAAGCTCTCTACCACTGAGCCACCTTCCCAGTCCCCATCTATATACTTTTACATTTGTTCCCTCTTCCTTACTCCTAGATTTTGAACTAGTTCTAGACACTTTCTTTCTCATGAGTACTGCAACAGCCTCCTTTTCCCTCTCCTCTCTTATTTTCTTTTTCATCCTATGTTTCTTTCTGAATGACAACTTCATCAAACCATGCCTGGGTTTAGAAACTCTGAATTAAGTCATGTTTGCAATTTTCTGCTCTGGCATCGAATCATTTCACTCTGTGGCCCCTTTTATATTACTGTCCTGATCATTTAGTATTCTTTGAATGGTTCCTATTCTGCCAGAGTTGAGCTCCCTAAAGGGGCTTCCTGCATAGCATTTTGCTTGGCCAGTCTTGCACCTTTGCCAAAAAAGTTTCTCTATATCACTCCTTTGTGCCTAACTGCACTTACTGTTTAATACTCAAGTTAGCATTTACAGAACCTTCTTTGACCCCAAGAAAGGATTCTCCTTCCTTGAAATCTCCACAAAGCATATTCTATTGGCACTTACCATCTTCTACTCTTGGATTTGTTTAAACATGACCATTCATTTGCCTGTTCCTTACCCAGCTCCAAATATTTGTTGAACAGTAGGTACTGGGCATAAAAAGTGATATAGTCTGCTGGTGAAATGGTAGTAAGACTTCTGATTTTAAAATGCAATGTATCAAATATGTTAGTGGATGTTCAAGAATCCTGAGGGGCCAGGTGAAGGCTGTCTGATAACTCCCAGAGAAGTGCTTTGTTCTAACACAAAAGATATTTAGGTATTAATTAACAGGTAGACAAGTTGGGGGTGGGGTAGGAAGCTCAGATGGAAGGGTTAGGTTTAGGAAAGGCGCAGACATAAGGCAAAGCAAAGTGTGTGTGAGGAATGGGAAGTGACTCATTCTGACGTGGTGGAGCCATTCAGAGAACAACAACAGTATGAGGAGAAATGCATCAGGTGGGCAGAATTTTGCCTGGCTAAGGACCTTACGGTCATTCTAGGACAAATAGGGGGCCAGGAGATATTTTAATTTGGACAATTATAAGATTGGATTCTGGATTCGATTTGGGTAGTAAGTAGAATGAAGGAAGGGTCAGAGACAGGAAGTGACTATCAGTGGGGGATGCTTGTCTGATTCATCTCTGTATTTCTTGATGGTGCTAAGCACAGTGCCAAGCATATGGTTTATATATAAATCATATTACCTGTAGGAAAGGAATAAAAGTGTGGTGTCCCCATTTTGACTGAAACACAAATAGATAGGCATGGCAGCTTTTGAAATGTATACGTCACCTGTGTTTCTGGGATCACACAGGTAGAGGGCGTTTTCCAGCTTTCTGAACCTGTCTATCCACATCTCACATTCTTCAGGCTTGTTCTTCGTGGTTGGGTTCATGGGAGGCTGGGAGGCCGGCCTGATCTTCAAAGAGCTCAGAGGATCTTGTGGGGCTGAAGTCTCCGCAAGAGGGCTTTCTGGCTGCTCTTTCTCTTCTGGAATTTTCTACCAAAATAGCACAAGTATTTCACTGGCAACAATTCACCATCTAGAGTTTCTCCAGACTCTTGGCCAAAGATGAGGCCACACAACTAGGAAGATTTATTGTAAGGTCTGGCTTTGGAGAGTAAAGATGTATTTTAAATGCTCAGTACCATGGGACCATATCTGCCAAGTTTTTCTGGATGCAGACTTGGTTAAGATTTTATTTTTAAGAGAAAGGTGACATCATTACTTTGCTTCAGTTTTTCATTTCTGACTCGCCACAAGCAAAGGAACTGAAAGTGGCTAAGGCTTTTCCTGATGTTTTCTTCGAAGGATAATAGTGAGAACTACAGGGAGTAGGCTTTCCTGCAACCTTTGCACACCCTCTCAGGGGGGTAACTTCTGTAAGATCAGAACTAGGGTTGGAAACAATACTGATACCCTCTTAGGCTTGTGGGCCTATGTTAAAGGATGGATAGTGTGCTGAAATAGTCATTTAACAAAGGACGTACAGAGACCCAAAAAGTTACTTGATGTACTAAGATTGCACAGATATAAGGGCAGATTCAAGACTACATGCAGGGCATAGAGATGATGGCTACTTTACATAGGTATCCTAATCCATGCCTAGTGCAAAATGAAAATGAAATAGAGAAGTTATCCCAGGAGTACCATGTAGAGAGAGTGGGGGTCTATTCTCTGCTCTGCCTTTGTCTGTTTGTTTTCACCCCAAGAACATCATTCATTGTTCCTCCACTCTGTCTACCTGACAGCAGAACGGCCACGTTCTACTTGCATAGTTCAAAACTGGGCATTTATTGCAACATGAGCAAATAAATATACCGTCCAAGAATTTCAGTTATTTTTATGAAAGAGAAAGACAGAAAGGGAGACCAATAGAGATCATTCTTTGTGAGATGCTGAAACTCTGAGGGGTTGTCTACCTGAATACTAGAAATGAGAAGTGAAGACTGAGAGTCAACAGCAGGAAAAGAGAAGCTGGAATGGAATGTCCTGACAGTGCACAAGGTCCTGGTGTTAGTGCATTGCTGATGGCTGTCTGTATTTAATGTAATATGCTTCTTGATCCTTGGAGTAAATTAGGCTGCTAGGCTTGCGCATTGCAATCTAAATGTCCCTTAGAAAACGATTCCTCACCTGCACTCCCTGATGCTTGGAAATGTTTCAGTCTTTGCAATTCTGTACAATGGTCTCAAATTTCTCACCTATAAAAAGATGCTATATTCTGATGGAAATTGGGGTGCTGGGGCACAGTGGCTCATTAGGAGGTTTGCCATTCAAGAGCAGCCATGGCAAAACATTAGTAAGACTCTGATCTTAACTAGGCAGTGGTGGTACACTTCTGTGGTCCCAGCTATTTAGGAAGCATAGGTAGGAGGTGCAGGTTGGAGGATCACAGTCTGAGGCTGGCCTGAGCAAAGATGCAGGGTCCCATTGGAAAAAATAACTACAGCAATTATTGTTGGAGGATTGACTTTCTTAATGTGTATAATGCCTGTACCATCAAAGACAGAGAGAGAAAAAAGAGGAAAAAAAGAGGAGGAAGTGGAGAAGGAGGAGGAAGAGGAGGAAGAAAAAGAGGAGAAAGAAGAATTACCACAAGAAGCCAAAGTTCTGAGTTGGGTCACAAACATGAATACAGCAGTTGAAGGAAAAGCAAAAAAGTTTTCATTTAGAAGAGTATTGATCTTATGCATTTCTGGAGATTTGGGTCACTGTAAAAATCCGATGAGAACTTCAGAAAAGCTTCCCAGATGAACACACATATGTGAACATTTTGAAAGATGACTTTTAGTGAGATCCAAGATGACTGTGAGTCTCAGAAGCTGATTCTAAGCCATGTTATTTTCTTCAGATAGTCCAATGCTGCCTGAGATTTGTAAGGATGTGACTAAGGCTCAAGCAAGTACTTAAGTAATGAACATGGCTCCATGTATCTTATTCTTACCCTATCAGGAGCTGTGAGAATCTCTTGTTTGGCGCAAATGAACATTTATGTTCTTCTTGCTTATTTCTCTATCTTAACTTCTTTGAGTCCTACGTATACACCTTTTCCTTTAGCCATAAACGACCAGATAAAGAAAAAACCCTGATTTTTAAATGGCTTTATCTTCTTATAATGCTGTTCCATCTGTTATAAAAGCATTTCTTGTCATCTAGCCATTATCCAAGAAGTATCTCACATTTCTATAAAGTCTTCCCTGAACACCTCAGCTAGGAGAGAGGCAATTACATTGCAGTGTCTTTGCCCATTAGGGTCCTCATCACTGCATTTGTTGGGGTCTTCTTCCAATAGATATTTGGAGACTGTAGGCATGTGAGTGCTACTGATGAATCTACTCTCAAGGTGTAGCAGTGGCTTGCACACAGTAGGCTTTCAATGAATGAAGGAATGAATGGTTTTCTCTGGAACAATAGGAACATTGCTTTTCTCAATCCTCTGCTTTAGTCTTCCCTTTTAAAAAGTGGGTCAATGAATGTTCCCTATACAAGAATGTGAGGAGAATTAGTTATTGCTGAGATGCAATAAAATCCTCAAAGAAGAGGCAAAATAAAAGAGCAAAAAAATTTTTTTTGATAATCTTATTCACAACAGGCTTAGCATGCAAAGAGAAAAGCATGTGCTGTTGTTTCTTGCATAACAAGAGGCTTGCCAAAATGGATACTGTTTTCTAAAATATTTCAATGTGTGAAGTGCTTGAGAGGCCTCCTGTCATTTTAAGATGAATTATGTTCTAATCTGGGCATTTAAAAACACAACAACAATAGAAAAACTGGGGCTGTTTTTCAATTCTACAATGTTTCCTGGCTCAGTGTTGAGAATATTAAAATGGATTTGAAAACTGCTTGCCAAATATTTCCTCCTCCTCCTCCTCCTCTTCCTTCTCCTCCTCCTCCTCCTCCTCTTCCTCCTCCTCCTCTTCCTCCTCATCTTCTTCCTTTTTCCTCTTCCTTCTTCTTCTCCTTCTCCTTCTCCTTCTTCTTCTTCTTTCAAATTAGAGAGACTGTTACATTTTAAAATGTGTTGTCTGGGGAAAAGTCACCCCGTTTTCTGGAAGTCAGAGTTAAGATGTTAAATAGGTCTCATAGCCTCTCTTTATTTTAAGGTCAGATGATGGATCTGTCACCAGCTTGGGAAGGACACGTGCACACATCCTACAAGGGCAATTTCTTATGGCATGTGGCCATCCCAACACCATGTGATAGCAAGAGGGTTCTGCATGCCATCTAGCATAACAGTTAATCCACACTTCTAGGAATTCTTCTCTGTCTAGGGGGAGTCTTAAAGAGAGGGGGAGTCTTAAAGAGAGTATGACATCAAGGACTTAGAAAGAAAAAGCTCCCAGGGGAGAGCCCCACCAAAAAACAGAGGAGATCAGGTCAAGGACCCGTGGGACCTTCCTCTAACTCTTTATACCCAGGTACCTACCACATGTTCAGTTTTGCATTCATCTATCTTGTGGACCCAAGGCTTCCCTGGAGTGGTAGGGGAATCCTTTGCAATCTTCCCTAAACAAGAAAAAAAAAGACATGGAAGGGTTTAGTTCAGTCTCTTTGTTTAACACATGTATATAGAAGATAGCAATCATCGGGCCAGAGGCCAAGGTGATGGTGCCTGTGCATTCCCCCTCTGCTACTTTCTGTTGAAGAGGTGCTGTATGACAGAGGTGCAACCAGTATCTCCCACTCCCCACTAGTGTTCTGTCCAGATGCTACTAGCTGTAGCCTGTTGTCTTCAGGAATAAAACAGATTTCCTTGAATTCAGGCATACAACCCCACAAAAACCTACTGCAGTCTTTGAACAGTTGGGTTTGCATGTTAGCTACTTCCTTTATTAGAGGCATGGCACTAGGTACATTACTCAACCGATTTGTGCCTCAGTGTCTTCTGTGAAGTGGGGTTAATGATACCTACAGGTTCTTCTCAGGATTAAATGGACTAGAAAGTCTAAAGCAAGAGCCTGGGGTATGGTTTAATGAATATGCAATAATACTGTTATCTGGTTAAGGGTATTTTCATCAATAAATTCCCATCTCAGACATAAAACCTTTTTTTTTTCTTAAGACAGGCTTTTAGCATTGTAATTATGAGTCATTATGTACTGCTATAGTGTTCTCCACCATCCAGCATTAGAGTGTGTATGGAGGGCATACTTGTGAAATAAATGAATGGTCGTGTGCCCTCCCCTATCTGACTCAGGTGCCATCCAGGGTAACCCTAATTAGATGTTTAATGAGGGTCATGATAACAACCAGTTAGGGCAGTAAGTACCTCCCAGGCAGATCTGACTTGGCAGGTTGAAAATTTGTCAAAATAACCCCATCATTACCTAGTAGCCCTGGCCTCTGCTCATTATTTCACCCAAGATACGTAGAAATAGCTTTTCTATTTATTGTAGGGGGAAAAGATTTCCAATGGTAGGGGTGGGCACTTAGAATGAATCTACGCGTTGTATGTGAAATAGGGGCAGGAATACTGAACTGTGATGTCAGACCAATCAGAACGTTAAACCATGAGTTTTCATTTTACCAGCTATAAAACTTCAGATCATTTCTTTCCATCAGTGAAATTACACCTGCATAAGTATTATATGAACTATTTACTCTAGGGAAGAGATACAAACACATCTGTGGTGGTGTTATATGACCATAAGCAAATCTAGTTAACCCAAAGAAGAACTAATATTACCAGATGCCAAACTATCTTTTTCTCGACACTATCCTTTTAAACTTTTTATTTTCAAAGCACTACCCTTTTAAGAACAGGTTCTAGAACCCAGACTTTGTCCCTATCCCAAGTTCCTTTCTACTATCGATCATTTTCAAAGTTCCATTAGAAGAAAATACATACTAGTCTACTTTCATTTCTTTTAAGCTTCTTGTTCTTCCTAATAGTTAATAGCATATAAAAAGGTAACGGTTTGCATGTGTAAACACTGTTTGGGAGACTTGAGGCAGAGCTTCTTTTTTATTGTTTGTTTTTTTGAACACAGCAGGAAGCATAAATAATAACCATCTGTCTAGTCTGCCAGTTGAAGACATGTATAGGAGGAAATAAGCCAAGTGTGTTTCTAGAGGTTTCCAGGTGTGGAAAGGGCCAGGTTTTACAGGGCTTCCAGTGGACTCTGATAGTTACATAGCCAGCCCTCCTGTCTGCTCCTACTAATGACCTGAAATCAGTGGTCTCTGGAGGTGGCTTCATTTGAGAGCCACTCAGGGAGCTTTAAAAATGACCAGTGCTCAGCTTCATACCATTCCAATTAAGGAAAAAGAAAATCTCAGGCGAGGAGAACTCAGCTCAGTACTTTTCAAGGAAATCCCTCAGTGATTTTAAAGTGCAGCCAGAGTAGAGGACCATTGCCTGAAATAAAGGTTTTCTGGCACTTCAGCTCCTCTCAATGGAGCTTTTGTGGGAGGAAAATTAGATTAAATTAGATTAAATAAAAACAGCAGACATTTTCTATATATTCTAAAGAAAAACTGACCCTGTGATGTAAAATTTATGCCCATTTGACAGATGAAGAAGTTCAAGCAGTGAAACTTTCAGTTATCAGTTGTCTTGAGACAACAGGAGTAAGTTTAGGTTTATATTTCAGAGCAAACTTTTCTTTTCTTTTTTTTTGGTCAGTCATGGGACTTGAACTCAGGACCTAGGCACTGTCCCTGAGCTTTTTCGCTCAAGACTAATGCTCTACTACTTAGATGCATGGTGACACTTTTGGTTTTCTGGAGCTTAATTGGAGATGAGTCTTATGGACTTTTCCTGTTGGGCTGGCTTTGAACTGTGATCCTCAGATCTCAATATCCTAAGTAGCTAGGATGATAGGTATGAGCCACCAGTACCCAGCCCAGGACACATTTCTTAATTGCTTATTAGATGTTAGGCTGTGCCACAACCGTCAATAAATCAGAGTTTTCTTGTGGACTGGGCATTCTAGTGGCAAGAGCCAACAAAGAAATTCATATCATTAAGTATTATAGACCCAGCTAGAGCCAATTGTGGAGGTGGGAATGAGTCCAGCTGCTGACAGAAATGCACTCAAGACCTCCACAGCAGTGATGGTTAGAAGAATGTTGAGCAGCATCAGAGGAACAAGAGAGCCGTGAAAATACTTGGGAACAGAGCACTTAAGAAAAAAAAAGTTACAGCTAAGACCAAGGCCTTAGTGCAGGGAGTAGTGTTTAGTATACTCGAGAGGAGAGGGTAGCTGAAGTGAAAGGAAATACCATGGACTGAAGACAAAGTTCCTTGTTTGATTTCCCCCGTGAGCATTCCCTCTTCGGTAATTTCCCTTATTGCTGTCCTCTCTGGTGATAGAATGTTTTCCTCTGTGAGGACCACACCTTCCCTATCCCAGTGCCCTATGGTTTGATAGGGTTTGATTTCTAAGTTCAGCTCCATGCTGGGTCTGATTATTTTAGCCTTCTATTCAATCCCAATCCTCATGTCAAACTCAAGTTGAGCCTCCTAGTTAGAGAGGAGTGACTTGCTACTTATCCAGTGAAGTTCCTTCCTTGGCAGGACATATCAAGAATGTTGTGGGGCTGTGACAACCAAAACTAACCTATCTGTTTGGATGTTGAAGAAGGAGTTCCTGCAGCTACCAGGTTTGTGCTATGGAAAGCCTATAGTTGATGCCAAAACTTGGTAAAGCAGAACAGAGAGCCAGAAAGAAAGCACACCCTTGATGATGACATTTGGATGGCCAGATCAAGCCAGGCTGGTGGTATTTGTTGTGTCAGACTTTTCATCTAAATGATCCAAAAATTTCTCTATTGTCTAAAGCCAACTGAGATGGCTTTTCTATCCCTTCACTGTAAGTAGCTGTATGGTAATTAGACTGAATTTTTAAAAATTAAATGGAAGCCAACCATTTCCCATTTACCTTTGTTTTCTATAATGATATTTCTTCAAGAAATGTTTGAGACCACTCTTCCTTCACTTCCAAATTTCCAAGCATCAGTAGCCATACTGTGCAGCTCAGCCCTTTGCTCCTCCTCTTCCTCTCCCTCACTTATATTCTTCAGATTGAGAAGAATGAAATCAGTAGCCATATTAGTTTAGATGCTAGACTAATATCATGTTTGGAGGGCCTACTTTTGATTTGGCCTTCATGGGATTTCATAGCACTTTTTGGATCTGTGACTTGAAGTGTTTCAACATTTTGGGGCATTCCTCTTAATTGCTTCAAATTGTTTCAGTTCTATTTACTTCCCCTTGCCTTCTGGCAATAGCATGTATGTTGATGTTGTTACCATTTCCTATATGTCTCGTGTGTACATTTTTGGAGGTAATGTATCCTTATTTCTCATCTATGTATTAACATAAGTATTTCACACCGAACTATATTCCAGTCCACTAAACCTCTTATCAGTTATTCCAATCCTCTGTTAAACCCATATTTTGGGCTTTTTAAATTTAGCTTTTGTATTTTCTAGTTTGTATGTTCCAGTTGATATCTTTTATAAATTTATACCTTTTGTTGAAAATTCTTCAGTTCATAATTTATTTCTCAAACTTATTAATATTACTTTTATTATTAATTTGTTTCAAAATCATGGCACTGTTTACATCAATTCTGGTAATTTTTTAGTAAAGCTAGACTTTTCATACATCCTGTAGAAATTTCATATGATGTTGTCACATACAGAGAGCTTTATCCCCCCCTACTGCTTAATAATTTAAGTTGAATTTTAAATAAGGACCTTCAAAAGATACTCTTGAATTTTATCTGATGTTCTAGTTTTGGTCTTCCAGGAGATTTGATCAGACCCAAATGAATCTACTCTTATCATTAGTGCCAATCACAGATATAAAGTATTTATGTGAAAACAATATATAGTCATTAAAGAACAAGTCTACAGGATTTTTTTTTGGTCCATCATGGGGCTTGAACTCTGGGCCTGAGCACTGTCCCTGCGCTCTTCAGCTCAAGGCGAATGGTCTACCACTTGAGCTACAGTGCCACTTCCGGTTTTCTAGTGGTTTTTATTGGAGATAAGAGTCTCGCAGACTTTCCTGCCTGGGCTGGCTTTGAACCGTGATCCTCAGATCTCAGCCTCCTGAGTAGCTAGGATTACAGGCGTGAGCCACCGGCGCCCAGATGTCTGCAGGATTTTTATGATTGCAAATAAGATAAAGTTTCAAACAAAAGAAGTACATATAAACTGAGTGACTTTAATCAAATGATCATAGCATATTTTAAACAAAAGAGACCATAGGAATGAAAAACTCAAAATTCTACACACCCATGTTTGGGTGGGGATAAAGAATATACAAATTAAATATGTCACTCAGTGTTTAAGATCATGTAAGCAGTGATACAGAAACAGGAAGAGATCAAAACATTAACTTCCTCAATGAATAGTAGATTATCATACAACAACACCACCACTCCAGCTTGTTACCCTGGACAGTGATACACTGGCTAAAACTTAACAATACATTGCTTGTTTTCCTTGTCAGACTTGTCATCCCATAAGATCAATAAGACTTGTTTCTCTTCCTGCCTTCCTTCCTTGCTTCCTTGCTTGCTTGCTTGCTTGCTTGCTTGCTTCCTTTCTTCCTTCCTTCCTTCCTTCCTTCCTTCCTTCCTTTTTCTCTCCCTCCCTCCCTCCTTCATTCACTTTGCTTTTCCTCCATTTTAAAATTGAAAAAATAAATCAAATTAAAATAAAATAAATGATCTAGGATAAAATGGTTATTTAGCTACAAAAGTGACACTTACATTTTACAGATTCTTTTTATGCCCTATCATATCCTGTATGCTAAATCATGTTTCTTTAACATTTATATGTTGAAGTTCTAATGTTCAGTACTTTGGATTGTGGCTCAGACATAGAGCCTTTAAAGCAATGATGGCTAAAATAGGCTGCCAGGATAGTTTTTTTTTTAAATCCATTCTGACTGATACCTTTGTTGAGAATGAGAAATCTGAAAACAGAGAATAGATGTGTGTGTGTGTGTGTGTGTGTGTGTGTGTTGTATGAGCACACACACACACAGAGGAAAAGTGATGTAAAGACAGAAAATATCTGTCCAGCACTGGGGAAGGATTGCTGTTACAATTGTTTCTGCATTCTCAACAAGAGCCATGTATGAATCATCAGAGGATAACAGACACCCTCATTGGTCACAGCATTGACCAATGGAGATCTGTATGATACACCTTGCAAACTCAGCTGTGTGGTGCCTTTCTAAAGTAATTTCTTCATTTACTTGGCAGTTTCTTAGAGATCTTAGACTACCTGTATAGTGGCACTAGCACCCAGCATGCCTCTGTGTAGTGTGATATCCTCAACCTTAAAGATGTACTGCATCCAACATATTTACTAAAGTCTGGATATTTCCAATAGTGATGTATTGAATTGTGTGCCCTTTCCCAAGTTGTATTCAAGACCCAATTACTGGTACCTGTGAACTGGCCCTTATTTGGAAATAGTATGTACAGATGTAATCAAGTTAAGATGAAGTCATTCTATATTAGTGTGGACTTTAAATCCAATGACTGATATTTTTATAAGAGAAAAAGAAGAGCTAGAATAGATTGAGGTACAATAGACAGAGGAAACACAAAAGAAGGCCACGAGATGGCAAGGCAAACACTGGATTTATACAGTGACGAGCCAAGAGAGAACTGGGGCTACTAAAATATAGAAGAGGGAAGAAGAGTATTCCATGGGGCAACAATAATGACACTTTGATTTCAAGTGAGAACTACCTTCTTTGTGAGAGAGGAAACTTTTCATTTAAGCTACCAACATCATGTTTTTGTTACAGCCACCCTAGGAGATGAACACATTCAATATTCCCTTAATTTTTCAACATTATGATACTCATATATAAGTAATCTTTGTAGTGAATTTACTACTTGAAATACCCAGTTAGGTCCCTACTTTTCTACACAGATATAGACGGATGTATCTACTCTCCAAAAACACACACACACACACACACACACACACACACACACACACACACACACACTCCCTCAGTACCTTGTATTTTGATTCAAAGTCATTGATGGATGTAGTAAATAGAAAAACTGCAGCAGCAGATTAAAATCAATGCATATTTTTTCACCTGTCATATTTAAAACTTGCTAATTGCTAAATATTTTGCCCAATTTACTTTATAATTTCACTTAATAATATGTCTTGGAAAATTTCCTGTTGCAGCTCAATTATGTTATTTTGCAAGTGCGTTGTTTTATAAGTTGGTTGAATAGTGATTTAATTAAATGATTCTTGAAGGGTCTTTTAATTGTTTCCACCTTTACAAACAAAAAAATACCCTGACATATAAGTGGGGATCCCTTTATTTAGAATGCTTTGCATCTTTACATTGAGGTAGTATTTGAAAAGTCATAAACATTCTGGAATTGATTTCAGTCTGTATCCACTAGAGTTGGCCTAATCAATTGTTATCTGGGCTTGATCACCCATTAGTCATAGTAAATGTGAGATTCAAAAAGTTAGGATAGTGGAAGATTTGCTCTGATGTAGTTGATTATTAAAAATTAAAGAAGAAATTAATTTCACTGATGTTGCTTATAAAAGATTATTGTACCTATCTACAAATCTAGGACTAGGGGATAAAAGAGAAACATACTTGTCTTTCTTAAATAAAATATGGCAAATATCCATGTAATATTGACATGGTCTATAACAATTATCCTGCCAATGGTTTCATGAAAGATAATCTGGTCATAAAAATAAGCCAATAGAAAATAACAGGATATATTTTATGATAATAATGTTAATAATTATGGATCTGTATAATTATGCAGAGCTTATATGAGTAACTCTTATACTAAGAATTATCTTTATAAAGCTGTAATCTAGAACTGTAAAATATTTTCAATGTAATGTAGTCACCAAGTCCACATAAATTAAAAGTAATATATATATATATATATATATGATATATAAAGGACACACTCAACATATACATTTCATATATATACATATTTGCATATGTTGCAGATGCTTTTGGTGATTATCAGGAGAATAAACTAAGACAAAAATAAAACCAGAGCAACTGAAATTATGACAATACCAAGTTATTCAGTTAAGTATGCTGACTTTATCTTAAAGGGCTACCACTGGGGAATGCCTTAAGATAAAATAAAACTTGGCAAGTTATGCCTTTTACGATCCAACTAGCCTAGAAATATCTTCATGAAGCAATGGTCACTCCAATTTTCTTTCACTGGTGAGCCATTTACACTTTGGGAAAGAATGAGAGGAAACTCAACAAGCAAGCCACTCATGCTAAGCAGACAAGTAAAGAAAGCTGCTGGGAAATAGAAGGTCTTTCAAGAGGAATACTGGACCTCACCTGCAGGCAAATCAGGAAAATCTGAAGAAGCTTGTCTCAGCAATTCAACAAACTTCTGCCATCTGTGTAAGGAAAAGAGATACAATCTTAGTAATAAATATCATTATCCTGAAAGAAGACACAGAGAAACTTTATGTTAAACCTGTTTAGGAGAGTTTTTTGATACCTGTGTCATTCAAGGTTTAATTCAGGAAGCAGAAACTACTTTAGGTACCTACCTTAGAAAATTAGGAACTCTGAAAATTATTGCAAGGAAAATAAGAAAAAATATGACTGCAAGAATCAGTGTAGCTGTTTACATTTGTCATCCGAGCACTTGGGAGGCTGAGGCAGGAGGATTATATATTTGAAGAAAGCCTCAGCTACATGGTAAGGTATTGTCTTAAAATATCAAAGAGAAAAGAATAGAACTAGGATATAGCTCTGGGAGACTGTTTTGCCTAGCAAGTGCAAGGCCTTATGTTCTATCCACAGCAACACATGTACACACACACACACACACACACACACACACACACACACACACACACACACACACCTTTGCAAGGCTTGTAGCCTGGAGATTGAGATCTGCTGTCAGTTTGGGGTCTGCCCTCAGTGGCTGTGGTTCAGAGATCAAGGAACTGCAGGGAAACCTGGCTGGTTCCTATTACACTAAACATGAGGTTTGTGACTATTCAAGGTCAGGTAAATTCTGGCCACTGGAAAAACGAGTACTAGCCAGTTTCTGGTGTTATTACTGCTGAAGGGAAATAAGTATATACATAAACTCTGTACCATCACCCCTCTGATTCCCTTTTCACCTCTCTCCTGCAATTGCATCTTGGTGTCACAGAGATTTTAGAAATGTTTTATTCAGCTCTCACAAGTATGGGAAGAATTGCAGCACAGAGCAGAGCAGAGAAGGGGACAGATAAAGTGCCAAATGCAAATAGATAATGTATGAAGAATTGTCCAAGAAAACTACATTATTAATAATAATTAATAATAATAATAATGCCTGCAAGTGACAATCAGGTAGCCACTGAAGTACTTCAGCAAAGCTGATGGTAAAAATCATTTATATTTTCTTACCTAGCATTTATCTTCTGCTTACATGCTTTCCACTGTGTTTTGGGATATGGTGTGTGCTAGTACTATAGTTGAAGTCCCATACTTTGCTCTAGCCAATTGTGTGACCCACTTGACCTAATTTCCATCTGTCATTTTTCCTATTCCTTCTTTTCTCCTTCTTTTCTGTCTTTGTCTCAGAGATATCATTAATTTTTTGTTCTGCTCCTTCCCGAAGTTTTAATGTTCCCCCAATAGTCTTAGTTATTTCATAGCCTTTAAAATATTTGCTTTTGTGTAGATTAGAAAAGACAGCTTCTGTTGTTAGCAAACAAACTGCAAGTGACAAGAACTTTGATTTCTGTCTTCCCCATCAGAAGCACATCAAAACTAGAGAGTAGATTGAGGCTAGACTCTGGTGCTCAGGCTTATAATCCTAGCTACTCAGGAGGCTGAGATCTTAGGATCATGGTTCAAAGCCAGCCGAGGAAAGGAAGTCTGTGAGACTTTGATATCCAATTAACCACCAAAAAAGGCAAGAGTGGAACTGTAGCTCAAGTGGTAGAGCAGTAGCCTTGAGCACAAAAGCTGACCAAGAGTATCAGTCTCTGAGTTCAAGTTCCACTATTATTAGCACACACAAAAATGTTGTGTGTGCATGGTGGCATGCTCCCCTAGAAATCACATACTGGCCTGTCTCAAAAGGAATGTTAGATCACCTCCCAAGCCTATTACCTTTCTCTACTTTCTGAATTGTGTGTTCTAGGCTAAGGGAGAGTGTGGGTAATTAGATCTGCTCAGCTTGTGCTTGCCTTTTTGTCTTAGCACATCTTGCTCCTTCTCCCAACAATTCTCCCCCATTTCTCACCATGTGAGTTCTTGGAAATCCTGCCATGCCAAGTAATGGAGACTAGCGCTGAAGAGCCAGCTCTATCCAGATTGCTAGAACAGTGCGCTCCATGACTTAAAAGGGTGACTTCACAGCCGTCCCTTCAGAGTACTGAGGTTCTCAACTCCATCCTAAATGTACAAAAACCAGCAAGATGGAAGAGGCAGCCAAGAAGCCAGTGCCTTCAGGAGCTGGACCACTCTGCTGGGATTGTGTAATGGCATACATATTTACGTCTTTCTAAAATTCATATGTTGACACTCTCACAATGTATTTGGAGGTGGGGCCTCTGAGAAATGGATAGCTCATAGAGGCAGATCTCTTACAAATGGGATTAGTTTCCTTACATAAAACCTGAGAGAGACTCCTACCTCTTCTGCCACAGGAGTTCACAGTGGGGAAAGGCTGCCTGTAAGGACTCTTATCAGTCTCTAGAAAAATATGTCTGTTGATTATAAGCTCCCCAGTCTATGGGGCTTTGCTGAAGAAGGACAAATTGACCAAGACAGGTTGCCATGACTAAATACTTCAGACCTTGGGTAAAAATTTAAGATCAAAAGTTCAGGTCAGCAAAGGGAAGGAGATGCCCAGCTCCTCAAATCCAAATTCTAGTCAATACCAAGCCCAGGTGAAACTAGCTCTGCATTAGGCAGTTTAAACAAAGTCTTGTGCCTAGTTACAATTCTGGGAGCTACTGGTGCTTTAGAACTTATAACGTCACTATAATATAGAGACTAAGAGCTAATTCTCAAGCTCAAAACTCTATGCTTAGCCTTACTGATGAATTCATTTGTGGGTTACATATCGTTCTTAGGCTCTGTATATCACTATCTTCCTTTAAAACACATAATTTTGCCTACTTCATGGGGCAGATAGAAGGATTAAAAGTTAATATTTAGTAAGGCACTTGGAACACTGTTTGGCATGTAGTAAGCCCTATACAAATGTTGACAATACATAATGGCAACAATACCTTTGTATTATTATTATTATTGTTATTGTTATTATTAAATGGAAAAGCCAGACCCAACCAACATTGAAAAACTCTAATAGCTATTTTCTAATACTTTTCCTATTCCTTTAAAAAGGTAATTGCTGAATCAGATACCTCATGTTTCCTTTATCTCTAAAAATCCTCTAGTTGTTCCTAGGCTTAGCAAAACCAGTTCTTTTCAACTTGATTGCACCCTCAATAATGGGCCAGATGTGTGTGGTAAGTCCTACTTGGGGCTGTCTCAATTGCTCCACTCTATTTACCAAGCTTGCATGGTGGCTTCATTAATTTTTCCCTCCCCCAACACAATTTGGCTTGGATGCATGTATTTTAAACCATTTGATTTTGCCAATACAATTTTAGAGTATTAGTTTGCCTCCTGTTCTCTCTGTCTCTCTCTGCTCTCCTTAATTACCATTTATTACAAAGTCACACACAAAAAACATTAAATGTGCATTCTGACTTCATGTTCCTGGCCAAGAACAGGGATAATCATTTCTATCCAACACAACCTGAATTCATTTTACATAAGGGTGGATTCAGAGGAGAGATTTGAAATCGTAATCAAGTCTTTCTCAAAATCGCCTTACCTTGGCAGTCATACACTAATGTTTCTGCTAATTGGTAGGCAAATGGCAAAAAAGTAAGGAAAGAAAAATTCAAACTTAGTTTTTTTAAAAAATTAAAAGAACAACAACGCTGTGAGAAGGCTTACAATATTTTCTCCTCTAGTCAGCTCTTGCAATAAGAAGGAAATGCAACTCATTTTATTTAGTTAGATGGGGCTAATCCCACATCACCATAATCCCTCCTGATGTTTTATTGATTCTAAAGGACATTTAATCAGGAAGCAGCTCAACACTAGAATCCTGCTAATTAGCAATCAGCCACATTCCAAATGGGCTCCCAATTGAACGGCAGATTAATGGACAATATGTACTAAAATAATGATTTGCGCATTCAGCTTCTGAAACTTGTGTCTAAATTGCATCTTTAATCTCTTAAGGATATAGGTTTGCATACAAAGTCCTTAACTGAATGGATTTAATTTGAAAGAATAAGCTTTAGCCTATGACTGTTTAAGGATGAAGCAAGTTTATCTCTTTTAAATGCAATTCTTTAGTTCTCATGATGTTGATGTCCTTAAATCTTCAAAGGTCAAGAATAGGTGAATAATATCCAAAGGTCAAAGACAGGTGAATGAAGATATCTGAGTTTCTGTAATTTGTACACAAAATAGTAGAAAATTAAGATTTCCTTCTTGCCTTCCTCCTCTATTGTCTCTGGGTCTCATATTCCTGATTCCTGAAATATTAGATCTGGACTTGAATTTTTAATCAGCATCAGTCTCTACTATGAACCAGATAGCATGTGACCTTTGATGCATGCTTTTCTTTTTCTTTTTCTTTTTATCCTTAATTGTGAAAATACCATATATAGGGGTTACAATTACATGGGCAAGACAGTGAGTACATTTCTTATCAAGCATTGATGCCTCCTCCTTTGTTTCCCCATACCATCTTTTCCCTTCATCACCCCCCCACCCCAACAACCCCTTACCACCCCTCCCCACCACCCCACCCCACCAAAGTTGTAAAGTTCATTTTTTGAAATAACGTCTTGTACATTTCATTGTTGTAATGGATCTACCTGTAACCCTATTTAAACAGTTTGTTTTTTTCCCTTCCCCTCCACAAATTATATCAACATCAAATAGAGTGAAAGCAGGGATTAAACCCTAGGGGAGGTACATACAAACCAACAAAGAAATCATCTTATAAATATGTTGGAAACAATACCAAGAAAGAAGAAAACATTTGAATCTTTATCTTAGGGTTCATTTCACCTAACATCAATTTGTCTGACAGTTTATGTTTGTCTCAGAAATATATTAGTTATTGCAAATAAGGGAAACCATGGGACCTATGTTTCTTTGGGCCTGGCTTACTTCACTTAATATAATTTTTTCCAAGTCTTCCCATTTCCTAACAAATGGGTCTATGTCATTCTTTCTGATGGAGGCATAGAATTCTATTGTGTATATATACCACATTTTCTTGATCCATTCATCTACTGAGGGGCATCTGGGTTGGTTCCATATCTTAGCTATGGTAAATAATGCTGCAATA